AATATATTAGTGACTCCTTGAATCTGATAAATGCCTGGTTCACTAAATAATATCAGTAATCTGGATGCTTTTTTAAAGTGGTTCAATACACCAAATATAAGAAGAGAGTTTTAAATATGTTCCAGTGTCATGTTCGAGTCTTCCTACATTCTTCCTAAAATATATTAATCACACATATTAAACTGCTTCATTACTCTATGCATATTTAGTGACATTTACAAAGCATGTAGGCAAAAAGCTGGTTGCGTCTTTCAAAGATTTAATTTAATAAGCACGTGGAGGAAGCACCAAGGTCCAATCACATGGCAGGAGTTTGATTAAAAAGGATGAAGTGAAAGAGGCTTAAAGTCATTAATGAATAAAAACAATGTCCTGCTTCTGAGAGGTACAAAGCTGCAGAAGGCCTGGCTCTGAAGGCATTTAACCAAATTTAATAAGACAACATATAACTTTAGAGGATCGAATGACTTTTATACGTCAGCAAACAAAACCAGTACCAGAGGTGTTTATAAAAACACAACCTAGTAAAGAAACCAAAAACTCAAAACAATAAAGAAAATATTAATCAGTTTATTGTCTGCAGGGATTATTTTGTGGTTCTGTCCTGGCGCTCTATTATACAATTCAGTATAATGAGGTATTCATTTAGCTGTGTAAGACCACCAAGACAATCAGCAGTTGGTAAACCGCTATGCTGCAGATCTTGATTAGTAAATGCAGACATGTTGCCAACTTCACTAAGCCTGTACCAGAGACAAAATGGATAGATCTGATTTAATTTTTAGAAGCTTATATAGGTTTGCAGAGAATACTCCTGTACAGTTGAAGTAATTGTTTACATAAACTGAATAAAAAAATCAAAACAGAATAACGTTTTTACTGTTTGACAGTAAATCAGACTCTGCTGTGACTCCTCAGTACAAATTCAACTGCAAAAGCTGAATATTATCAAAACCTTTAAAACAAGAAGTTCCCACCTCCAGTTCTGCATGAGGACAGCTGGAAGGAAACTTTGGGACATGCTGCTATTCTAGTCCAAAGTAGAGCATCAATCTGAGAGCAGTTTGAGTGGGAGCACATAAAAAACATTCAGACCCACCTACCCCTCAGCATCTAATCACATTAAAGGAATTCAATCCTCTGTGTGAAGTATGTGTGCAACATATTCACATAACACAACACATTGTTAGTGGACGGACAGCGCTGGAGTTACTCTTCAACTGTGCAGAAAATCCTGGGTTTGAATCCTTTAAAGCTTTTATTCATATCCCGTGTTCTATACTTGGAAATCATCAGTCTGAATAGTTTGCACCTAGTTTTAGAGTAAAGCGGTGCTGTGTGGAAGACATCTGATGTGTTTGGTTGCATGCCCTTGGTGTTTGGCTCTGCTGTACAGCAGTTACAGGCCTGAGCAGCCTGCATTCCTCAGCAGACACCTGTACTGCCAAGCTAGGAACACCTTGTTAATACCAGGCTGGACACATTTTGCCCTCAGAGCTGCCTTAATTCTGTAGATTTACCACAGTGTCCGACAACAATCCTTTGGTAGACAGTAATGTTTAAACGTTGTTCAATGGGCCGGAAACATATCCTGCACAAATCACACCACCACCATCAACCTGCTGAACCCATCACATTAACTAATCAGAAATGGTGATATAATTTGATGTTTATTATTTCAACATCTTAATGTTGCAGCTGAAATTGGACTTTTGGTGAGCCTGTGTGTACCGTTGCCTCTTGTTCCTGTTTTCAGGAGACAGGAGGTTGGGAGGGTGAAGTTGTATCAAACTGTACTGCTACAATCAATTTGAAAATTCAACTGCGTCAAGCGAGGATTGTTCAACAGAAAGAGGGCAGGAGGAAGACGGTTTTAGGTAAAATAATACCAAACTAAGCAAACTGCACAAAAATGTCCAAATTCACACAGGAACATAAAGGTGGAGCCTCAGATAACCTATCTAGACAGTTCATCAACAAAAAAAAGTTGATATGAAGGTGAGTTTCACTGTAAATATCCGGTCTGAATGATGCATTAAGAGCAGGGGGCTAGAAATCCGATGTTATGCCAGCATGTTATGGGTTTTGTGGATACTACAGTATTGGTGGCTTGTATAATAGTGATGTCATAGTGGTGGATTACATTGGTAAAACCCTTGGGAAGTGTGTGTTGTTGTCGTACCTGTTCTGGTGCAGTGTTGATCTCAAGATGAACTCTGGTGTACCAAATTCTGTTGGACTGAAGGTCTTGAGCATAGATCATGACCTGAGGCTTTTCCTCCACTCCCAGGCTCAGTGGTTGTAGGGTGTATATTACACCTTCCTGACTCACAGTGAAGGCAGAGGTATCTGCAGCTTTCAGTTGGACATTTCCCTCATCACAGTTCCTGAATGTCACTGTGGAAAAGGAGAAACTATTATAGTTGTACTTTTTATATAAATATGAAGATGATTCCATGCAAGTATCTCATCAATCCAACATCGATGCTTCACACAGGTAATTCTTCATACAACATAACAGTGTTATGCAGCATTTAGATGTCTGAAGAGTCACTCTGGAAAAATCAGAGTATACTTCATTGTTTTTTTAGAACAAAGTGTTTTGTTTCTCTGTACTTATCTACTTACCAAACACAAAGCTAGAAAGAAGATTTTGACATTAGAAAAGGGCAACATATTCTCTACCATCACCCACTTAAAAACATGAATATTTTGTTGACACTCAACTTCAGGAAAACTGGAGGAGCTCATGTCATCATGAGCATGTTACCAAATGAGTGCATTCAGCTTTTCATAGATTAGTTGGGTAACTCAGATGGACAAAATACAAACTTTTGTGAGCTCAAGGCAAATTCAAATCTTCAGACTATCTGTAATCCAGCTGCTTATTTGTCATAAAGCAGAAGAAAAATTTGAAAAAATGGATTTTATTCAACTTTGACAACAAGCAAAGCCACTTTCACAGAACACTTGCTTTACATAGTCCCAAGTAAAGAACTGCTCTGAGACATCAGCGAATGTTCAGAAATTATCAGTCAAGCCGCTTACATCTTGTAGACACTAAACTTTCACAAATCAAGCCAGCATCATTAAACTATATTTAGTTCTGTGTCTGATCTGTCTTCTCAAGCCTCCAGTCGGTTGTGGCAGATGGCCACAACCGACTGGATGGCCTGTTGTCATTAAGTGGTAAATAATGACACTTTTAATGCAAAGTTGCATTAAAAGCTGCATTAAAATAGCCAACTTTGTACTATTTTGTAAATAATGACACTTGGCATTTTAATGGAATTTCAATTTCAATTTCTGACACTATTTGTCAATTAAAGCCCAAATTGTGTCTCACTTGGTGGCTCAGAGATATACCAGCAACAGATTGACAGCAATCCCCTTGTGCTGTCTATGCAAAAACGTTCCATGGAAAAGCCTCATTTTGACCTGTCATATCACAGGTGTTACAGCTCTGTGACAACTTTCTGAAGTAGATTCAAAGCACAACAGAGGTGGGTCGACTTTGACCTCCAGTCCACATCTTGGTGTAAAGTTCTTCAAGATGTAAAGAACTGTATTGTTTATCCATTGAGACTGTGATTTGAAAGAAGCTAGAAAGGTTCTCTGAATCCCAGCTATTTTGTGAAAGAGACTTAAATTCTTGATGTTTGCTTTAACATAGCAGATCTAAAACATACCTGGACCTGGAGTATTGTGATCTTGGTATAATTACTTCAGCAGTAAGTTTGTATGCAGGATTTGGGTTGTATTCTATTTCTGAGAAATCTCTGTTTCTCAACTAACCAAGAATGAGACGTTCAGAGGAAGCTAAAAAAATGATTCTAATACGACCCTTCCTTACATAGTGGTGTTTCCTTCAGGGATCTGCTTTTGTTACAGGCAAGCAGTCTAGCTTAAAGTTACATATTTTGTACTCAGGGAAGACATTCTAAAGTTATCCACTAAAGTCCCCCATGTAGGTCAGTACATTCTTAGTACCAATTCAGTTTTCTACTAAAAGTACAAAATGTTGCTTAAAAAAGACTCCTGCAAACTTGGTTTTATTTTACAATATTGTCTTCTCGTCTATTAGCTGTAGTGAAGAGATGGATGTTTTGATGGTGGTGCAACTAAGCAACCTCCCTTAAACTGAACAGTCTCTAACAGATTGCTATAAATGTTCATACATTGTCCATGTTCACACACTTATGTTCACCATGTTAGAAAGCTGTCTGGTTTAACAACCCCTCCACCCAAGACATAAAGGGAACTGGAGCAGAACTAAATGTGGAGCTTTCAGATGTTGCTGGGCAGCAGCAGTTTGAGTGCCAGGGTTACCCCCACCTCAACACAGAAGCTTTGGAATCACAAGCTTCATTCCATGCTACACTTATGTTACAACAATTGAAAATCTATGCACAAATTATTTAGCAAAATGGTAAATGGCCTGTACTTGCTTAACACTTTAGCATGTCAGAGGACTCCAAGAACTTTACACTACAATCAGTCATTCACACACTGATTGTGCGAAGCTACAAACAGAAGTGAGAAGGCTTTCTGACCACTAACAGCAGGCAAAGCAGGTGACTTGTTTTGCGCAAGGACACAACGGCAAAGTGACTGACATAGATGGAATTGAAGTTCAAAAAAGCAACCCACTGCTTACAGGACAAATCCCTACTTCCTCGATCCCCAATATAGCCATAAGATCAATAAAGAATACATTAGTTTTATTAGAAATATTTGGTTTTAATAAGAATATTTGACTAATGATTGAGCAATACGTATTTTATCACATAACCTAACCCCAAACGTACAGTAACTGATGTTTCGCATTTGTAGGTGTTCTCCATTGGTTCTAATCCAATAGAAAAGGCTGTTTTACCTTGAAACACGATTTTCAGGTTATGAATGCAGAAGAGCAAGAACCCCAAAAAAAGATCTATCCATTTTGTCTCTGGTACAGGCTTAGTGAAGTTGGCAACATGTCAGCAGTTACTAATCAAGATCTGCAGCATAGCGGTTTAACAACTGCTGATTGTCTTGGTGGTCTTACACAGCTAAATGAATACCTCATTATATTGAATTGTATAATAGAGCGCCAGGACAGAACCACAAAATAATCCCTGCAGACAATAAACTGCAAAGGACCTGGGCCAACAGAATGTTTTCACTAATTCATTTTCAGAGAGTGATAGTAGGAGAAAATGTTTTGTATGCATATAGCAGCCAGCCAAACCAAGATAAATACTTTATATACTTTAAGTACTGTAAGTATGTCAGAGATTTTCACCAGGGCTGCACCTTGGTTGCAGTTTAATGGCAAATTAGAATCTTTAAGATGCTTGACATCTCAATTTTAATTTTGGCAGATTCCATTTTTTTTTTTCTGAAAAGTTGCTAAATATAGTTACAAAGTTGCTGAGTTGGCAACAGTTGGGGTGACTAACCACATACATGCAGACATGACCTGGGTCTGTCAGTGAGTGTTCTCTCTCAGCAAAGCAAAATGAGAAAGTGGGTGATTTTCAGGCCTTTGTGGAGGAAGATAACATCAGTGGATAAGTTTAGATTCTCATGTAAGTATTGGTCGCTCACTAATCTCCAAAAATTAAGAAAATCAAGGTTGATTTATTGGTGCAACCCAAACTTCCACACACTTAGGATTGATTCTTCCTTGGACTTCACGATGCTGTGTGCTCCCCAATATTCTCCCCAAAATGCTAGATTTGTACTGTTGTACTGAGATTACATTACATACAGGTGGACTCTGCTTAATCATTAGCAGTCATCAGGCAACTTCTGATATCAATTGGTTGCACTCAGAGAAAAGGGAGATGAATACTTTTGCAAGCCATTGTATGTGTAAGTTTTCCCAACCAAACTAACATCTGAGAACATAGCTAGTCAATGAGAAGCAGGACCTATTTACCAGTAGTTACAGAGTAAAACATATTTAAAGACTTACTTTATTTTTGCATCCACCACCACATTACTGCTTGTTTCAGTCTGCAGAATATATCATCTTGTAATAAATTACACTGAGTTCAGTTTCAACAATGTAATTTATTTTTTTTAACCAATCCTGTAATGGTTTTGTGACTGATCAACCGATTGTAGCTAATTGAATTTGCTGACAATTAGCCAAAGTGCTAAATAATCTTTGTGGCTGACAGAGAAGCTTGCATGCTGATAGTCCACAACCTAGCTTGTTCATTTTCACTTTACCATGTTTGTTAAGGAAGCCGAAGCATTGTCAGTGTTCTGTTACTTTTAAAATTTTTAATTATGTTACAAGAAAAAAAAAACATTTTAATTTGCAATAAATTACTTATTTTACATTTAAATGTATTAGACTGAGAGCAAAGTGGAACCAAAGCTGTATTCCTTGTCTGTGCACAAATCAGATCAAAACAGTGAATCTGATTTATATCCACAGATTCTGATCTTACTTTTATTAATTTGGTACGAACTTGGTGTTGCAAGTTCGTAACTTGGAACACCAGGGTTGTTGCTAGCCATTTGGGTGCCCTAAGCACAACTGCTCTGTGGTTGCCCCCAACCATAACAGGAATGACCAGTAATTCAGTACTTTTCAGTGAATTTCTGATTATTTGGTGGTGGAGAATTAAGACTCATGATAACAAAATGGGTTTGTAATAAAGCACAATGAATTAAATGTAACAATGGGGAGTGTACAGAACTGGGAGACATCCTATAAACAAATAAATTAGAATAAGACTTGATGTTTTCACCTGCTGTACTTGATGATGCGAAACCCTCAAAAAAAAAAAAAAAGGTCTTACTTTAAAAAGGCACCTGACCCAAATATGCTGGGTACTTAGTAGTTGCGTTTTTACTAATAACTTTTTAGGGAAAAACATACTTTTAGGAATAGTTTTACTTCACTGTACTTTTTACTTTTGCGAAAAATTTCTGGATACTCTACCCAATGTGACACCATTGTCTCTTCTTTTTCTCTTTTCTTGATGCATTTTCGAGGCCATGTTCAAACACTGTTGTCTCAGTGTTTGCCAAACCTGAGACAAACGGACCAAAGGAAGTTGGTTGGTTCAGACAAATCCCCTGTGGTCTGGAGAAGATTCATCTGTTTCTGATGCAAATGTGTTACTGTTGTATTTCTTGTATCTATTAAAATACTTCACACATTTTAGTGAAATATCTTGCTGTTAGGGTTAATTATGACTGAACCTGATGTTTTATTGGTGTGTTTTGTATGCTTACTTAATATTAAGCTGAAACACACTACAGAAGTGCTGTTGTTGCTTTGGTTAAAATAGACATGCATGCACTTTTGAGATCTTCCAAAATGTTCAGTACTAACTTTATAAAAATCTGCTAAATTCCTTCTTATTCCTCCAGTATAATTTTACCTAAAGGGACTT